ATTTTAGGGAATTGCAAAAAAAAAAATCATAATCAGATATCCATTTTTGAAACGGTCCTTTGGCTTCACTGTGGAAAAGGGATTTAAATGGATTAGAAATTGAAGCTAGGAGACTGATTAATAGATGGTTCAGTATTCCAGGAAAGTGATGGTCATATAATAAAAGGAAACACTTATATAGTGGTTGGTATGTATCAAATTCTAAGTACTTTCATATAATGACTCATTTCATATAATGACTCACAACAACCATGAAAGGTACCATCATTATCTCCATTGTATAGATCAGGAAATTGAGGCCTAGACATGTTGAATAACTTTCTCAGGGTCACACAGCTAGTAAGGTATATAGCCCAGATGGGAACCCAAGCTGTCAGGCTCCAAGTCTGTGCTCTTAGGCATAATGCTGTATTGAGTAGTAGCAGTGGGGATGCATAGAAAGAAACAACAAAGCTAAAATCTTCCAAGATAGAAACAACAAAGATAAAGCAACTTCTTAGTGATTTGTTGGCTTCAAAGACTAGGGAGAGAGAAGGGTCATGAATGATTAGATTTCCCGCTTGGAAAATTTGGTTGATGATATTTATACAAAGAAGAGCAAGATTTTGCTGGGAAGTGGAAGTAGGTGGCAGGGATGAGCAAAGACATGAGTTAGTTTGACATGTTGAAATACACTTTCCTCTGGGCTTCCAGGTAGAGCTGTCCAGCTGGATATGTGGGTCTGGAATTCAGAAAATAGGACTGGACCAAAATACAGATTTGGTGGAGATACACTTTGATCATTCCCTTTCTCAAAAACAGACTTTCAGACTCAAGTTCAAACTTATTAGAAAGGCATCTACTTCCTTTGCTGGAACTCTCCCTATCTCAATGAGCCAATAATCACATCATACTTAAGTCCTGAAACAATGCTAGATATTCAATCCTTTCTTGATCCCAACAGGAAATAATTTCTCTCTTTGTTTCATTATGGCTCTGAATTCATACTTTTCTTATGTATTCATCATTTTCAACTTTGCAGCTTTCTCCTCTATTGAAAAACTTACTACATTCTATCTTGTATGACAGTTGTTACTGAATATATTTTATCTCGACTACAAGCTGAGACCAGTGATCATACCTCCTTTATATTTCTTCACAGCAGGTGCCTGGTAAAGTACCTCAAGGTACCTGTGCATAGATTCAGTAACCACTTCTTGAGTTGAAATAGATTCATTTCATTTTCATACTTTTCCTTGATTTAAGTTTAGAATTTACAGTATTTGGCTTGAACATAATACTCAAAAGATGTTACCCTATAAATTTTTTTGGGGGGGTCAAACAAGTTCAAAAAATCCTCACCAAGCATAAAGATAATCCAGAAATAAAAGCTTTAAATAAAGGGAAATGTGGGCATGAAAATACAATATTCTTACCTTGAAAAAAAAATACTGGGCTTTATTCTCAGAGAAAGACAAATTTTCAGGCACATTAGGAATGATGATATGGACAAGGAAAGTGGTACCCTTGTACATTATCTGGCGATTAAATGTCTACACCTCTGAGGTAAATGGATGAGCAAAACAGTTTACACTTTGTATGAATGCAGTTTATAAGCATGTATTTGTAGATTACACAGCCTAAAAAGTACTGAAACAGTGCAAAGTTATTTATTCACATTTTCAAATATGAATATTATACTTAAGCATAATTGTAAACCCACTGCTGTGGCTCTGTCCACGTTGAAATGCTTCTTTTCTTTGTCCCCAGCACAGAAAAATGGAACCTGCTCAGATATAATCACACTCTTAAAATTGCATCCTTCTAAATACAAATATTACAATTCTACAAATCACTGAAATTCCAGTGAATAGATAGCTGTTAAAAAGAAGCACTTTAGTTCTCTCTTGTTTTATACAACATAGGTGGGTTCTTTTAAAAGTATTCTTCAGAGCACACTGTCTTCTGAAAGAGTAGTAGATTCTTATGATAATCATTATAAATTATACTGGAAGATAATAATAGAATCATCTTTTTAGAATTTTGGGTTTTTTTTTAAAAAAAATAAGATTTCCCATTCTTTCTGCATTTACAGAATTTCTTCAAAAAGCCTTTTGTGTGTAGGCATTTCATAGAGTCCTTTACTTCTCTATATTCATCTTTATCATGTGTTATTTTTTTTTTAATAATTTTCTTCTGAAAGAGTAGTAGATTCTTATGATAATCATTATAAATTATACTGGAAGATAATAATAGAATCATCTTTTTAGAATTTTGGGTTTTTTTTTAAAAAAAATAAGATTTCCCATTCTTTCTGCATTTACAGAATTTCTTCAAAAAGCCTTTTGTGTGTAGGCATTTCATAGAGTCCTTTACTTCTCTATATTCATCTTTATCATGTGTTATTTTTTTTTTTAATAATTTATTTTTGCTGTGTTGGGTCTTCGTTTCTGTGCGAGGGCTTTCTCTAGTTGTGGCAAGTGGGGGCCACTCTTCATCACGGTGCGCGGGCCTCTCACTATCACAGCCTCTCTTGCTGCGGAGCACAGGCTCCAGACGCGCAGGCTCAGTAATTGTGGCTCACGGGCCCAGTTTCTCCGTGGCATGTGGGATCTTCCCAGACCAGGGCTCGAACCCGTGTCCCCTGCATTGGCAGGCAGATTCTCAACCACTGCGCCACCAGGGAAGCCCCATGTGTTATTTTAATGGCTAGTTTCATTTTCCTTGTTACTTTTGGACACTAATGAATGCACTAATTATGTTTTGTCATTTTTTCCTGACCGTTACATCTTTACTGTATATCATACCATATGTCTGGTGGAAAAGGGAAGTACTCCTTTTTTCTCAGTTAAATAAGCAGAGTTATCGACAGAGAAAGAAAAGAAAGCAGTATCTAAGATTTGAGGAGACGGAAGAAGGTACGCAGGGGAAAGTAACTAAGGAAATAAAGTAGGAATACTGGGTGATGTCAATGGCCCTCAGAGCAGGTAGCTTACAAGACGGCCCCCAATGATCCTCACCATTTAATATTCACACGCTTGTGTAATCCTCTCCCCTTGGACTTACTGACTGGCTTCTAACAAACAGACTATGGGAGAAGTGATGAAATGTCACATCTGAGATTCAGTTATGGAAAGACTGTGGCTGCCATCTTGGGCACCTGCTTATTCTAGGGGAAGCCAGCCCCCAGCCCTGTGGAGTAGCTTATGTGTTAAGGGAACAAGGCCTGCCAACAGACACATGAGTGACCTTCATTCTCTCCACTCCCATCCCAGACAAGTCGTCAAGATGAGACCACATCCCTGGGCAACAACTAAGGTAGTAACCTCTTTAGAAACCTTGAACCAGAGGCATTCAGTTAAGCTGTGCATAGATTCCTTACCCACAGAAGTTGTGAGATAACTTTTGTTGTTTTCAGTTTCTAAGTTTTGGGGGTAACTGTTAAAACATCAATAGATAACTAATACAGCCCTCTTGAGACATGTGGTCATAAATTTAAAAGATAGTGAAAGCAGTTGCAAATATAAAGTAAGATAGTCAGCAGAGGTATGTATTTTTTCTAGTTACATTCTGATGCACAGAAAAGGATACCAAGCAAAATTAAACACAGGTTACTCCTAGAGCAGAAGAGGAAGGGAGATGAAATAAAGGTGCATTTTCAGCTTTGCTCTATATATTTCTGTATGATTTGAATTATTTATAATCAGGTTGTATTCATTCTTTATGTATGTAACTCAAAATAAAATAAAAGACAATCTTAAAAAGGTAGCACTGAAGACTTCTTCCTCATAATATACTATAGAAAACAGGCAAAATATTTTATCAGGGAAGGGCAAAATCACACGGTTTGATCGGCTTCTTGAATGGCATTCTCTACAGGGCTGGAAGTATGCATTCTGGAACATTCACAAGTGCCAGGTAGAGTCTTCAGACCACAGCTAAGTGTTTATTTGCAAATGCCAGGTTTTAGCCCCTGGTAAGGCAGTAGCGTTCCCATTCTGCATAAAAATCCAGATGAACGTTCCGCTCAAGGTCTAGAGCTCTGCAGCTGCTGGCAAAGCACGCTGGGAGCCTTGGTCTCTATCACCCATGTCTGTTTCACTTTTCTCTGTGTGAAAACCTCTTGAGGCCCAAGGATAAAAGACATCTCATCATTTAAGCGTCAAGCACTGCTAAGTTAGATTCTCCAAGGCTTTCATCGACTGTGTCATTTTAGCCGCATCATTCTTAGGCTGTTACTCTATGAAGGTGTAAACACCAATGGAGAAAATAATGACTTCTCGAGGTTTGTTTCGTTTTCCAATCCTATGCCAAATCCTTTTAGTATGGCTGGTTTCCCTGACAATTATTCACTGTGCTTTGCTTACTCGGCCTGCCTCCTAAATATTGTGCCCCTTAATAGAGGGTATAAGGGAACAGAGTAGTCAATTCACTGAAAATAAGTCAAAATTAATGGTAAATAATTGAATATAATCTTTTCAAATTTCCACTCTTATTAGATTGACATCTTCTGTGAAGCAGGAACCATATCTTCTGTATCCAACATTCACTAAATATCTCTGACTTTGCCAGGTAAGTGATACGTTAGGAACAGCCCAGAGTAGCATGCATTATGTTTCCCTTGGCCATATCATCATTGTATTTCCTCTACCCTCATTTTCCCTCTATCCTGCTTTCCTCATCTACTTTTTTTTCTAGCTCTTTTTTGGGTTAGATTTTTACATGCTGCCATTTAAAAAATTTATCTGACATTATGGGTTTACTCATTCTAAAACACCCTTCAACAGTTAAAAGGGTCCACAGAAAATTGGTTTACTATTGCAGGTTTTAATTATCTAAAAATCAGTTATCATAATTAGCAAGCAAAAGTTAGATTTTAACATGTTTCTAATCACTGTTGTATAAACACACAGCAAAAATCACCAATACCTTAAATATTAGATCAATGTCTACTATTTACATCTTACTGCATTTTCCTCAATTTTAAGACTTTAAACTCTAGGTCTTCTCCTTGTACTGACCTTCACACGATTCTCCACTTGGTGAAAACATCCCATTGTCATGGTAGCCATCTCTGCACTCACAGTGGTACCATCCGGGCAGGTTGATGCAGTTAGCACGGCTGTCACACTGAACAAAGCCATCAGAGCACTCATCAATGTCTATTTGGGAAAGAAAACAGAAACGGGATGTTATACAATTGCTGCCTTTCTCTCAAAGAAACTAAAATATTCTGTTAGATAGCTACTAAAATATTTAGTGCCGGCAAATCCTTAAAACTGAGAAAACATAAAATCAAGAAAGTCTACTTGGTTGTTGAAAGCTATAGAGAAAGAATGTAGTGGTATTAGCAATAGGAGAAAGCTAGACAGCTTCTCTGTTGCAAAAGTCATCCAACTGTAGAAACTGGAAAGGAACCATCTGTGATAGTCATTAGTGCTGCTCACCAAATATTTCCAGCTCTTCTTCTGGACACAAGCTAGGATTGCCGTGTGACTTCCTGAAGTCAATTAGGGAATGACATGTGTCACTTCCAGAGAGAGCCTTAAAGATGCAGTGTGTGATTCACACATACCCTTCCCCCATCACAATGACCAGCGATTTCCAGAAGCTCTGAAGATCAGCCTGAGTCCTGAGTGAAGACGATATGGGGCACGTTCCTCCTCTAGCTGGGGTGGACATAGAGTATGAGCAAGAAACCAACCTTTTTGCTTTAAGCCACTGAAATTTTAGGGTCTCTTATTACTATCAACATAATCTCCAGTATATGGCAATAGCATTCATGCATCAACATGCTTCAGATTTTTGAGAATATATCCCATCTATGTCACCTTTTAATGTTTCACATACATCATTACTTCATTCAACCCTCAAAAAAAATCTTGCCATTTAGACAGCATATTGAACATATGAAAAAAAATGAGGCAAAAGGAAATTATGGGATTTAACCAAGGTCACCTAAGAGTTCATATTTGCCTAACTTTCTGGTGTGTGCTCCTTCATACAAGTACACACAGGCTGAAATTGGCAAAATTGTCTAAACAAACAGAGCATGTATCTTGAGTTTCGTATATTTCCTCCAGTGGCTTATTACTATTCCCAAATGTTGTGAGCCTTTTATTCTTCTTATTCAGTCTATTGATTAATGGGAACATCTGATGTCCATCCAAGTCTCTTTAATCAGTCATAGAGGAAAAAGTAATTCCTAGAGTTGCTTTACAGAGTGTCCCCTTCTTCTTAATACCTTCTGGGTTTCTGGGTGCTTTGGGGTTGCCCCAGACCTTGCTAAGTGATCTGCTGGCACCGTACCATCACAGCTGCCAAAAATATCCATCTTGACAACCCTTTGCCATGACTGCAGATTCCACTCGCCAAGGTAGAATAGCCTTTTCTTATATGTTTTCCTCACCTGCATCATATTCCCTGCTGCAGTGACCAGCATGACAAGTCCCTCCTATTGATGGGAAGACCAGATACTTTTTAGAGTCCTTTCCTCCCAGACAATCCACTCCAGCTCAGCTGTATCTACTGCCTTCTTAGTCTCATCTAACTTCAAATTCTTGGAAGTATATATTTCTTTCATTTTCTTTTAAAATTTCCTCTTTTACTGTGTTCAATTTTTAAAGAGACACATTTTTGAATAAGTAAGATTTTTAAAAGAAAAAAAAAGTCATCACTCATATACTTCTTGATAAGCCCGGAGCTCCTTCAGTAAAACAAGGCACAAACCATTCTCTTAGATTAGGTAGTAAGCCAAAATAAATATTTTATATGATTGCAAAATTTTAACATTCTTTCTGAACTATGAGTGATTTGCCTCTGTGGTTTCTCTTCTGAAGAGTCAGTTTCTTACCGTTAGTAATTCCTATTGTCAAAATAATTGTTAGTGGCCAAATCAGCTAACCATTGACTTCCTGACACATAGCTGATGTGGATTGCTTCCATTTACTAAGGCCTCATATGTTTTATGAAACAGCCTATCTGTCCTTCAGGGGCCTCCCTAACTGATGATTTATAAATGGGACTAAAATGCTATGCTCATTTCAGCTTTATATGGTCTTTTCTTCTAACCCAAAAGATGCAGGAAATTGGTTATGTCATTTCTTAAGTGCATGGACAAAAGAAAACAGGTTGGAATTTAAGCTTTAGAAATGAGTTTATTGGAAGAAGGTCAGGAGGGGGATGTTTAGAGCACCTCATTTTAGAATAATTTGGTCATTAGCGTTGGTGATTTGGAAGTAAATATTAATAGAACAGAGCCTTATCCACTGAAGCAACTTTCACATCTCTTATTTACCCTTTAATTTAGTTATTTTTTCTTGCTGCAACACAAGGGCTACCTCAGGTCACATGACACAGATATATCTTTCAATATTTACTCCTCACTCATTTTCTCTTGTCACTTTTTCTAATCACCAGGCCCACTCCTATACTGCTTCATCTCCACTTCTCTTTGTTCATATTACAGCAACCTTCCTTGATCTATATCCATTAAAGTTTAATAGAAATGTTACACAGTATATTAGTGCGTATTCCCTGAAGACGGGATTGAAACATGTGCTGGCCATAATGTATTTTCCTATACAATCTGAGTATCATTATTTGACTATTAATACTAAGTAGTATTTTAGAGGATAGATATGCAAATATATATGTCACTCAATAATTTATCATTCAATACTTATTGAATACCTGTTATATGCCAAGTATTAAGTGCTGGGGAAACAAGGATACATAAAGCAGAAGTAATTTCTGCCCTTACTGGGTTTACTATCTATCTAAAGTGTGTTTTATTTTAAGAAAATTAAACTTATGAAAATCTGAATTTACAATCATGCAGGACAGTGTTTCCCAGCATGTTATATATCTGCCGCCACTGGTATGGTATTTAGGTGATAACAGGCAAATACTTTATTTTAATAGCTACATTTGTATATTTCTGACTTATTTCTATTTATAGCAAGTGATACTAATAGTACAGTAGTGAAATTGTATTTAAATTTAAAAAGTGAGAGGGATTACAGAAACAACAGTAAGTAGATATTGGTATAAACAATATATAAATATGACAAAACTTATTAAGGTGGCATATGAATGACGAGTTTTGAAAACATTAAGATACAGTATGGAGCAATTATTCATATCTCAGAAGGATTTACTGAGTAGTTCATTAGGTAGTGAAATGTCTTTATTCATTTAAAATATGACTCAACTTATAAAATATAGTATAAGTATACATACGTCATGGCTCAAATTATATACTTGCTACCATTTAGGACAGCAAAGTAAAACTAGCCAGATAATATACACTGCTTTGTTTTACACTTTCATGTTCCTGCTAATTTTGATTTGTTTATGAAAACTTTTCTACTTTGGTGAAAGTCGGTAGAAACTGAGAGTGTGCTTGAATTGCCAAAGTATGAACCTTCCACCAGAAGGTATGTTTGTTTGGCTCATGGGTCTAATTAAAGTGAAAGATGAAACAAGCAGCCTTATCTGTAAGCTATCTGATGGTATGTATATCTTTAGTTACTCAGGAATCATTAATAAGTAAAGAATTGAAATCTGATCCACAATTTAAGAATTCAGTATATTTTATCTGTACACAAATGTAGATATTACTATGAGTTAGAACATATAAATGCACATATATTGTGTGCAATTTCAGATATGCACATATTGTGCTTTACATATCATATAATAACAAAGTAGTAAAAAAAAATCAGATGATTTATTTCTTTGGTACTTTCTTTAGGTCAGTTAAAACCAAACTTTATATTATCTAATTGAGTTAGAAACACAGAGAACAGCAGACCTAGCGGGCGGGGTGGGGGGGAAATGTTATTATTTTATTCCATGTAAGAACTACCAAGTTTGAACAAATTACTTTCCAAACCAAGTTAGAGTATTCAGAAAGGTTAGTACAGGATATATAAGCTCATATGATTTAGTCTTAATTATAAGGACCTTAATTTTATACTCTGTAGGTACATTATATAAAAAACTAAAAATAAATTTTATGAAAAACTATGATTTCATTATATATTCTGTCTTAGAAAGGAACTAGCTCCTTAGGGACAATTAGAACTTTTTCACTAGCTACATTTAGAACAGTCAGCTAGTGATGATACTGAGATGCTGTCCCAGAGCACAGAGAATCTAAAATCCAAAAGATATTTAGCCATCCAACAGCAGTCACGAATAGCAGTCATACTCCAGAGATCAAAATCAACTTAGAAAATGGAAGTGGAAGGCACTGTGGCAATAGATTTTCCAGAAAGTACATATATTTTGAGGTAATCATTAAAAACAAACCAACAAGCAGAAAACAAGAAAGGAACATGCATGAATTTAAAAAAAGCTCACATATGTCAGTATCTTGTTTTCTTTGCCTCCCTCAGGTGTGGTGACACAAGACTGCATGCCTCCTACAATGTCACAGACCACTGGCTTCAGAGGAGGCCAAACAAATATGGCTTTTGACATCAGCATTTAATGGGTCACTTTGGAAAATGACAAATTATTTCTTTGTAAAATTAAGTGTAGTTATAAAATGAGACACTTGAATGATAAACAAACCCTTTCTCATGCATAGTTACAGTTATTTCTATCATAACAACATAACTAAGAATAATAAAAAGTGTGTAAATATCTAGAACCATCCATACCTAAAACAGACCCTAATCATTAGTTTAACCTGCTACCCTATTCAAAAGAAAAGAAAATACAATTATTTTTTTTAAATGAGCATGGTACTTTTAATGGCAAAGTCAAATCATGAGAGTACTGTGTTTCAAACTGTTTATTATTAATAAAAACCTGACAATTGCTCATAAAAAATAGTACTTGGACTATTTATATCACTATCCTATGCACCGGTAGTTAAATTATATTGATAAACAGTAGGAAATTAAACATCCTCAAAACAATTAATCAACTCTTGATTACCCACATGTGGATTATTTGCTTTCTAGATTATCCACAGCATTTTTTTTTAAATCACAAGGTCATTTCCCTCTGTCTTTTGTTGAGCTTCTGGGGAGCCTGCTTTCAACATTTAGATGTGAGTGCTCCGTGAAAGCAAACTCTTTTGAGCATTACATTGTTTTTTTACAGCTATTCCAGACTTGGGTATAAAATATCCAAAATTTCATAAAAAGAC